ATTTTTTTGGGAGTCTTCTCTCCTCAGTTGAAACCTGGGCTATGGCACCATGATCTCCATTTGTTCATTTAGACAGATCTCCTTTTTACCTATCTTCTCTACCTTAGAGTTAACTGTGTGCACATTTGGTAACAAATGCTACCATGGCATTTTGTAGTTTTCCCCTATACCACTATAGTTAAGGATGTAGTAGTGTTTCTATTATAAACATAAGTTTGCAGAATTTTATAATTCGTTTGAATAGAAGTTTAAAGATGTTACTTTGCACATTGTATTTCAATGGTGTATTTGTATTTTTTGATTTGAAAGAAAAAGTAAGATTGAATATATATGCTTATTCCATAGTATCTTCTGCTTAAGATTTTGGTGCCTTACCATTCATGTAAGATTGGCATGGCAAATAGTGTTATTCCTGGTTTATGGAGTCCTCATATGTACCCTACAGAGATTAAGTGGTTTATCTAAGGTCTTACAGTGAAGGGGCAGTTGAGGTAAATGAGGTTAAGTCAAAACCCAGAAGCCAAGGGGCAGCTATCTTTAAGTTGGTTATTTTAATTTGCAGATGGCACGAGAGTACTCTTTTATTTTATGTTTTTCTTTGGTTACTTTAGGTGATACCCTAGGGAATTAACTTTATAAACTTGGTCAAACACTCTGCTTCTTACTGTTTCTGGAAAAATCACTTGCTTATACTGACTGGTGTTTAGGCACAGTGACTAGTGGAGACTAGCAGGACAGGTAGAGCAGAGACATTAGAAACTCAGCCATGGCTGTCAGGTCTCTGGACAGCAAAAAGCATAGCTCAGTTTGACTTTAGTCAGGAAGAGGAACAGGTTAGCAGAGAGGCCAAGGCCTTGAATTTCAAAAGCTGCCTCATGAAATAGGGCATCACACTGGTACAGAGAGGCATCTGGGACTAGCATAGCATGCAGGAGCCTCCACACAGCAGGTGAAACTTGAGATCAGAGGAGAGAAGCCATGTTGGGGGGGTTCATGCAGCAGGCAACTTGGCATTGAAGTCAGGCAGTAAGCAGCAGGGCTACAGCCATTGGTCTAGTTCGTTGGTTGGGTTGGGGGGATTTGGCAGGAGCAAAGCAGTCCAGCCCATTGAGGAGTGACCCTTTAAGCAGGCTCCCAACATAGGGTCTCAGGTAGAAGGACTAAGGCAAAAGTCAAGCTACCACATGGAGTAGAGCCTAGACCGTGGGAACAAAGGAAAACCCCAATTATTAATACTAGACTAGATGAAGTAAGCACAAAAAAACAGTAAATAAATTTATTTCAAATAATGACAAGGGCTGTGAAGAAGACAGAGTAATGTGTACATTTAAATTTATTGATTGATTTATTCACACATTTATTTATTTATTTGACTTCACACCACTGTTGTTTTCTAAAAGCCATAGGTGGGTTAACTGGGACTTGAAGAGGCAAAATTATTAGTACAGTTGATGTTCAGCTTTAAAAGATAAAGGTCAGGTATCTGCATGGTGGGTGTGTGGCTGTGTGTTCAGACATTAAAACTGGATATTAGACTTACCAATTTAAGGGCTGTAAATAAAGGTAGTGGATTCAAACACCAAAAAGGTGGTTTAAAAAGCTTATCTTTAAGATACTACTCACATTTGATATTCTAGATTTCCACATAGTTTTGTTTCACATTCAATCAGTTAAGTATGCTCCATGTTTGGTCATGTTGCATTTTTATTTAACAAAACTCGTATTTCAAAGACTCTTCTTTTGTGTCATAAGCATTCCTTTTTATTATCATATTTGAGTTTATGTAGCAATTTAGGTCCTCCAAATAATAACCTTGTATTTCAGTAGCGATGTTTTTGAAGTATTGGCATCGTGCTTCATTATATTAAAGAACCACTCATGCCAAATACCAAAATATGACATGGTTTTTGACTTGATCTGCAACTTGGCAGTAGGAAAGGAAATTCTGTAGTACTTCCATATTAACTAAATGCCGTATCTACTTAAATTATCTAATATGCTACTGTAACCTACTTATGAAAACAGTAGTTTTCTTAGATGAATAGTCTATAAAATAGTAGGAACTGCTTCAATGCTGAAATAACCACAGAGCACACAAATGCCAAATTATATATAGAGGAACTTTCCTTCTTATAGTCTAGAGGTTGTCATCAATGGCTCCAAAAACAACTTGAAAATATGTTCTCTCCAATGACATCTGGGTTACTATTTGGTCTTAATTTACTTCTTCCCATTATTATTGAAATATAAATTCAATTTTAAATACTTGTCTAGTTTAAAATTTGAAAGTTGTATAGAGATGTCTTTGTAGTAAGTAGTGGTTTCTTTCTTTAGTGGTTTGAGGTAGGAAGCTGTTTTTATAGCCTTTGACATTGCCTGAAAGGATTTTCAAGATCATTTAAAAATAATTGATTTGTTTCCTGATTTGCCTAGTGGCATCTGTACTGGGTCAATAGAACAAAAATTCCTGGTTTTCGCAATCAGTGGGAAGTGCTTTAGTGGGTATATATATAGAGAGAGAGCCTGCACTTTAGTCTAAAGAACCAACAGCTTAAGCCTAAAAGGAAGATGTGTGGTGAATGTGGAAAAGGCCTGGGGCTTAATCATCTGCTTGCTCGTTGTGAATCAAAAGTGTGGCGCAGCTGCCAAGAGAGCAGAGGCGACCAGAGGCCAGGCTGGCAAGGACAATTCTCAGTAAACGGGAGGGACGGCTCTGTCCTACCCTGCACTCCCATCCCCAGCCTGATGTCTTGGGGTCAGTTTGGGGTTCTCTGGTTAGCTGTATAAATGTTTAAGTGTTTAAAGTTGGAGCTCATTCAAAGACAAGTGGTCAGGATGGAGAGAAAACTTGAAACCATGTTTATATAGGGAAGAGCTGGAGGAACTGGGGATGTTTATTCTGGAGGAGAGGGTACAGAATTGCTGTCTTCACAGATATAAAGGGCTGTCATGTAGAACAGAGGTTAGATTTATTCTGCATGGCTCTGGAGGGTAGAATAAGAGCCAATGGGGCAGATTTTGGCTCAGTTTAGGAATAGCTTTTTGCTGGTTACACATATCCCTGAAAGGTGTGAACTGCCTCAAAAAAGCAGTAATTTTGGATCTTGAAGACAGCCATGCCTGGGCAAATGGTTGCTGTTGTATTCCAGGGAATATCCCACGAGACTGGACTAGAGATCTCTAAAGTCCTCCCAACACTAAAATCCCAGTTCACCATCTCACTGTTTCTCTGTCCAGCAGACACACTTCTTGACCAAGCACAGTGCTAGGAACATGGAGATCTCCAGGCACTATAAGGAGAAAACTAGATATGTAGACAGCGGCCACAGGGTGAGGAGTGCTGCGATGAACTGGGTGCCTGAGATCTCAAGAGTCCCGGAGAGGGCCCAAATGCGATCCTTGGATGGCAGTGCCGAGCTAAGTTGTAAATAGGAGTTGGCTCAGTAGAGTGGAGAAAGGGGATTGCAGCAGAAGGGCCGAGCAAGTGCAGAGGCCAGGGTGAGAATGTGCGTGGGTGTGGTTGGACAGGAAGAGAATAAAATGGAGCAGGAGCTGGAGCTGAAAGTGCTTCATATGCTAAACTGAGTATTTGGATTCAGAAGTTGAAGTTACGAATGATGTAATCTGATTTGCATATTTGAAGGTGGCTCATCTGATAAGGTTGATGGAGTGGTACCAACAGTAAAGTCACCCAGGGTCTCCTCTCTGAGTCTCAGATTTCTCACCCTTCATCTAAGGGGCTTGGACTATTTGCAGTATTTAGCAGGATAATCGTTCAGTGTCTTCCTTTTTTTATAATTTTACTTTGATTGCTAGGCCCGTGGTGCCCTAGGTCTTACCAGACTCTGGGTACAAATGGAATCACATTGGCAGTAATACCTAGATTTCATTCATGCTTTTTTATCTTGCTGCTTAGGACCTCCAGACTCCCTGAAAAATCATACCAAATTATCTCTGGCATCCTCTTGGGATGTCCAATGGGAGAGCATAAGCCGACCCCTCCCGCTCCTCATTCTGTTGTCTGAACCCATCTGAGAATGGTGCTTTCTTGTGCCAGTTCTGCTGGTGCCCATGCCCTGCATGTCTATGTCCCTGCCCACCATCGATATTTCTAGCATTGCAGCCTTCACGGTGCTGAGGTGATACTGGGCTCCTCACGGTCTTACGTGCAGCACAGCCACACTATTCCCTGCAAAAGGGGGTAGACTGCCCACGTCCTCACTTTGTGTTATTTTTTTGTCACCTGGGCAGTGAAGTGGGACTGGATAGGCTTGAGTCTCCCCAAACCCCTCTTAAAAAATTTTTTTTTAATTGAAGTATAGTCAGTTTACAATGTTGTGTTAATTTCTGCTGTACAGCATAGTGATTCAGTTATACATATATATATATTCCTTTTCATATTCTTTTTCATTATAGGCTGTTACAAGGTATTGAACATAGTTCCTTGTGGTATACAGTTCCAAATCCCTCTTGACAAAACTTCTCTGATTTCTCCCTGCAACCCCAAGGCTGTGGGACCAAGAGCTGAAAGAGACTCCCAGGTTTTCCCTCCATTTCAGTTTCCCCCAGTTTCTCCCTGTCTTGGCTGGTTCTCGTTTAGCAGCAAAATGAACTATAATCCTGGAGGCTTCACCCTTTGGATAATTAAACACACCCACAGCTGAGATGATGATGATTATCATGTCTGGCACAGGGCTGAAGGCTTCTCGTGTACCATCTCATTTAATCACCTCAACCTTTGGAGGTGCAGATTATTAGTATCCTTATTTGTAGATGAGGATGAGGCGAAGAGAAGTTAAGTAATTTGCTCAAGGTCAAACAGCTGACTAAGATAGAATGCAAAACCAGACTGGTCTGGAATATGCCAGACACCAAGCTCTTAACAAGTCCCCGACACTGGGACATAAACACTCATAATCTTATAACCTGGTTAATAATAAAGCGCCTGCTTTGCTCATTTGTCATCTTTGCATAAATTCAAAACTGGTTTTTGTGTCCAGGGCTGGGAAGAAACGGTGGATGCTGCTATTTCCCACCTCTTGAAGACCTGCCTGTCGAAGAATTCAAAGGAGCAGGCTTTGAACCTCAGCAGCCAACTGAGCATGCCCAAAGACACGAGTCGATTAAAGAAACACATCACCCTGCTCTGTGATCGATTAGCCAAAGGGGGACGTCTCTGCCTAAGTACTGACGCAGCGGCTCCGCAGACCATGGTCATGCCAGGTGAGAGCTTTGTCCATGCTTCTGAAACACAACTTTTGATATTTTTGCCAAATTAAAGGAATGTGCCTGTGGTTGTATTTGGAGTTTACATTTCATATTAAAGTGATGATAGCCAAGAAAATTGCTTTCACGTTTCCCTTCAGTTACCCCAGGGTAACCACTTGGATAAATATTCTTGGGGTATTTCTTGCTAGACATTTCTAGAATGGTATATCTGTTTTCTTCCCTCTGCTTTTAAATATATGATCCATTTTGTTTTGCTTCTAACCAATAAAAAGTGGATTAGAGAATAAAACTATTTTTAAGGAAAATTTTACTCAATGTGATCTCGCGATACCATATTTCATAAATGTAAATAGCATAATACAAGCAGCTAATATAATCCAGATGAGTCCCATCCTTCTGCTATTTGCTTGGATTGTGGTCATCAGAATAAGGGATAAGAGACAAAGGAAAAGACTGGGGAATCAGGAGATGTGAGCAGGCTTCTGGGCTGAGGCCCTCATGTGCTGGGGTGAGAGAGATCCAGGTTGCCCCTACGTGGGCAGTCAGTGATGGCCATGGGCATCCAGGTCAGCCCCTCCCACAGTCAGAGGAGCTGAGCCGTCAATGGTGCTGCACTCAGGTCCTTCGAGGCAGCAGCCCAAGTCCTGCCTCGCTCTTCTTAGTGTCTCTCTTTATAGCAGCAGTGAGGAACATACAGTAAATGAATTTATTAAATGCAGCAGCTGTAGTATCTATTTCCTCCTAAAGCAAAGCCTATAGTATGGGAAGTGGTGTGTGTATTTTCTTCTTCCTCCTTACATACCTTTTGTGTACCTAGCCCCCATGCTGATGCTCTTCCTGTTGTTTCCTTTCCCTTTCAACCAGCATTCCTAGAAGTAAAAAGGAGTGCAGGTGAAAACTGAAAAAGATAAACATGGAACAGCACAGCATAATCTAATAAGCACAGACTTTGGAGGCAGACGGACCAGTGTTTGGGTCCTGCCTCTATGCCTTACTGTTTATGTGACCTGAATATGTTACTTAACTTTCTAGAGTCTAGTTTCTTCCTTTGGAAGTGGGATAATAATGCCTTCCTTGTTGCCAGGGCCTTAGATATTTGTAAAGCCCCTAGCACAATTCTTGGAACAGATATATACTAAAAAAATTCAAGATATAATTATTACCATTGTATAGATATATGTATAATTCAGCTTCTAAATTTGGGCTGGTTGGTTTGGGGTCAGAGGATTCTATATTCTATGATTTGAAATATTTTTTACCTTAATCATACACAGACAGAACCTAACTTTTATTCCAAAAGAATATTTCTAATATGGAATTTCAGAATAGAATTGACTTCCTACATAGGAACAGTTCTAATAGTTTGTCTTAATTTAGATCTTCTTCATCTTGCCCTTGTTAACATTCTCTATCTGGTCTTTCAGCCTCTATTCATCCATCTTCTGTCCACTGTTAGGATTATTTTCCTAAGAAATAAGTGTGTAGGCTTAATGAGATAGTAAATGAAAAATATTCACTACAATCAGTAGTGTATGGCTCTCCCTCCTTTCTTGTCAATTGGAAAAATGAAGGAGACTTGAGGGAGAAGGATAAATATATAAAAGGGAAACTTAAAAGGAGTTGGACCAACCCCCTGGCTGGCTAGTGTGTCTGTCAATACAGGCCTCAGCAGCCCTGCCTTCTCTTCCTCATATCCCTGTCGGAGCCTCTCTGGGAACAACCCCAGGGAGTCCAGTGCTTTGCTCTGAGCAAACACCTGGACACCTGGAGAGAACCAGTGCTTCCTTAGTCACATTGATTGATTATGGAACTTTAGTCATTTGTTTAAATAACTAGATTTGAAAGCAGCTTGAGGACTGTGTCTATATAAGCTGTTGACGTAAAATTTCTTAATGTTTGGAAGGAAGGGGCAGAAGAAAGGAGGAAGAGAAGGAAGGGAGGGAGATATGAAGAAATGAAGGGAAGTGGAGAGTGTGTTTGCTCACAAACCAGAGCCTGTAAGCCAAATATGTACCTGTCATGCTAGTCTAACTGAGTTCATTCTATTGGAGAGATGGAGGCTATGCGTATTTTTGCTTCATCATTGTGGTCATCGCTTGCTTTCATTTAATGACCCACTTTTTGACTTCGGTTGAGTGACTCTCCCTCCCACCTGCCCCAATCTAATCATGATAGTGAGTTTTTAAAAAATTTAAATCAGCTCTCTTTGCCATTACCATGCTCCATTATTGCCTGTACTACCTTTCTTCCCTGGAGCTCAGAGTTTTCACACACTTGTTTCTGTACTTAGCACGTTTTTGAGGTAGAAGAAACATGCAGAATTATTGCTGTTTTACAAATAGAAACAGAGTTAGGGAAAGCTAAATATCTTGCCCAGAGTTACATGGTTACCGGAAGGGTTAGGTCTAGAATCCAAATCTTCCAGCCCACTGTGCTTCCCTCTAGACCGCACAGACCACTACGGTACAAATACATTTCTATCCAGAGCCTCCTCCTGTGTAAGCTATTCTTGATCTGGCCTTCTTTTCACTTAAATTGGTCTAGCTTTGTGGGAGGAAAAGGGCAGAAATAGAATAGTCTCACACAGTCTTTTTCTGTGCTATGAGGAATATAATAAAGATTTATCTTGTACTTGGCTATGTGCTTAATTTTTATTACCTCTGTAGGTGACATGATACCATTATTACAGAGATGATAAGAAATACTATGAGTTATTTCAGCTTCAAGCCAGTAATTGTGCAACTTATAATGTTAGTTTAGCTTTAGCAGTTGTTTCAGAATATGTGAAGATAAAGTGGCATATTAGAAAGGAGTGAATTATTGAACCCATAAGCATACAAGCATTTTTCACAGACATGATCTTTTTTTAATAGCTGGGCAGGAACCAGAAATCGTCGGGTTCACCTCCCTCACTTAACAGCTGAAGTAACTAAGGCCCTAGAAAGATGAAGTGACTTAGTGGTTGGTATTTAAAGGCAAGAGTGTGTGTAATTTTACCATGTTCCCTATTAAATTGCAGATGAATAAACACCGCAGAATAAGAAACCCTTGGTGTTTTCTAGCCTCATGACTTTATGAGCCTGGCACCTTGGATGTGCCCTTTCTTTACTCCAGTAAAGGCCATGGTGACAACATCCTCCCTGGCATCCAGAATTTGAAAATCTTTCCCACTAGGAATTACCTTATGGACTTTTTGCCTCACATTTCTCCTACTTGCCTTTATCAACCTTCAGATTCTCTATCAGGATTTAGCCTAACCTTTACTGGGTATTCTTTTTATTACAGAACCATCAAACTTATATTTCTCTTATCTGTACCTCTGGTTGTCACATCTTTCTGCTGGGGAATATTGCACTTCTATTAAATGTCTTTTTTCTAATCTTTCTTAGAGCAAGAGTCACAGAGTGCCACCAGGATAATGTTTTAAAAAAAAAATCTGAATGTGAACGCCACTACTGGCCTAGCTGGCTTTCTCGTTCTGTTTGTTACTTGGTTCATCCCTGTAGATGCCTGAGGCTGAGGTTTGCCTTAGATTGCTAGATTGATTAAAGTATAGAGGGTTCGAGACTAATTGGTGTCAGAAAAGGACTATCTAAATTGGGACCAATATTTCATTGTTTTCATTGGGAAAACAAAAGATTTGTTTGAAAAGTATGTGAAATTAAAATCAACACTTAGTTTATTTTATTGTATGTTTGCCAAAATTTGTATCTGCAATTATGTGCTAATTCTTAGAGACAGTAATGAAAAACTTATATGAAGTTTTTGTTTTTGTTTTGTTTCTGATATGATAATAGACACTCAAATTTGACCTAACCAGCACCTCTAAAAAGAAAGTCTTACTTCACTTAGAATGACAATCTCCAGGTCCATCCATGTTGCTGCAAATGGCATTATTTTATTATTTTTTATGGCTGAGTAGTATTCCACACCACAACCTCTTTATCCAGTCATCTTGTAGTAACTTATGGTGAAAAAGAATATGAAAACGAATATATATATGTTCATGTATGACTGAAACATTATGCTATACACCAGAAATTGATAAATTGTAAACTGACTATACATATATATATATATACACACACACACACACACACCCAGAAAAACCAAAGAAAGTCATTTTTAGGGAAAAATATTCCAAGGTATTATCCATTTTCCTAGGGGTCTTTTTTGATATGCAAATCATTTTCTTCAGAAACATCTGTCATGTCATCATTCTAACCAATTTTATTCTTGTCTCTTCATTGTTAACTGGGCCAGTTGCCAGATTTTCATGATCCTTGCATGTGATAAGAGCAGTTCTCTAGTGACACTTAAAGTGCATTAGATATTGCATCATTTGCAAGATTTGTTATTTCTCTCTGCATCCTGTTTATGCTGTATTTGCAACACTTTCCAACAGTTGGTGAGTGATGAATCAATACAAAAAGTTGATAACAGGTGGCTTCTAGTGTTAAATGTGGAAATATATTTGAGTTTTTGGTGAATATCTTTGTAGTATGCTTTTGCTTTTTTTATGAGTACAATTGGGATAATTATAACATCCGTAAGTAGGAGAATCCCCTTTCCCACAAATTATATATGTAAGAATTTAGAAAGTGCTAACCTGAATTTTGATCTCAGTGTTAATATGGCATTTCAAAGCATTGGACGAAAGACAAGGTGAATTAATTGAAAAATGTTGCTGAGAACTGGCCAACCATTTGGAGAAAAAAATAGATTTCCTAGCCCATACCACGTGCCATGGTACATTTCAGATAGATAAGAGATTTAAATGTAAAAAAATGAAATCACAAAAATATAGAAGAAAATGGAGATAGATATGCAGATATGGAGGCAGGGTAGGTCTTTCTAAGTAAGTCAGCAAAGGCAGAAAACAAAAGCAGAGCTTCAGTTATACATTCTTCAAAATCTGGTCCAGAAGCATATAAATCAAGGTGTATGTTTATGATGATTATCCTGGGTGGTGGAGTTAAAGGTAGTGTCTGTGT